CAGCCCGTGGGGGCCTCACCTGTTTCTCCAAACACAATGCACGTAGTCAGTGCAGCCTTTCAATCACACACACTGCTCTGTCTTGAGAGCCTTGCTTAAGTACCTCATTCATCTTTCACCTGCCACAGAAGTGTTGCGTCTTGTTTATATATCATCCTGTGTTTTCTTAGCACTTGGCCCTTTGGCTATAAGCACTAACCCCTCCCTTGATAATCAAGCGTATTCCTCGCATGACAATGCCTGTTCCAAACAGCACCTGCACAGTCAGTGACAGTATGTGCCCTCATGGTGAGGGCAGCCTGCCCACTGCGGGTGCCCCCAAGTTCAAACCTTGGCAAGTAGGCAGCTAGATTACCACATGGGTGTGAAGCCTCCGCTTTTCTTTCACCTTGCCCCACGTGTAATCTCTCTCCGTGACTTGCTATGCTAGAATAGAAGATAAAACATCTTAGGTGTCTTTATGGACATCTGAGAAATAGTTAGGTGCCTTGTGCATACAGATTAGGACATAGTAGATTATAACAGCAATACTTAATAAATGTTTACTATATCCCAAACATTTTCTACAGATTAGTTCCTTTCATTGTCTATTAGCCCCATTTTACAAACAAAGAAACTGAGGTATAGAGTCTATGTAATTTGCCAAGGTCACCCCACTAGTTTAAATGGCAGAGCTGGTGTCTGAATTGGGACTACCTGGTGCCAGGGCCAAAGCTGTCCACTCCCATCCTATACGGTCTTCTAATTACTGCCTTCCTGATTATAAAATTAGCTATTTATTGTTCTTCATGAATTGCTTGCTTATCTGCTCTATAAAGTTCTCTCTATAAACCTCTGGCAGGTTTCTTGTCTAGAAAAAAAAATGCACCCCCCCCCCCAATCAAGGCTGTCAAAGGATTTAAAGCAGTAGAAACAGGGCAACATCCAATTTCTACAGAGAAAGAGTTTGGGGCTTGTATCAAGAGCGCTAGTGACTTGGATTAAGTCTGCTGAGAAACAAGATTTTAAGGAAAATATAAGCAATTAATATAGAATTTAAGAGATTATCTCTAGGAGGGAGCAGATGAACCAAGCTGAAGAACAGAAAGTTCTGGTGAATTCCAATAGTTAAGAGAAAGGGTGGGGCGCCTGGGTAGCTCATTCGGTTAAGCGTCCCACTTCAGCTCAGGTCATGATCTCACAGGTCATGAGTTCAAGCCCCACATCAGGCTCTGTGCTGACAGCTCAGAGCCTGGAGTCTGCTTCGGATTCTGTGTCTCCCTCTCTCTCTGACCCTCCCCTGCTCACATTCTGTCCCTGTCTCTCTCTCTCAAAAATAAACATTAAAAAAAAAAAAAAAAAGAGCGAGAGAGTGGAAAGAAAACCCAGGACCGCTTGGGTTCAGCTGTGGGGAAGAAAGTATAGGTCTCTACTGCCCAACATCCCTTCCAGTCCTCAGTGTATCACAGTGGCCCTCTACCCAGGCAGCCAAAGGCCTCTCTTATGGTGGCAGAGTAAATGTTTAAAAGGGCTTTCCTTTAGTTTTCATAGACCTTAAATAAAATAAGTTTGTTGATGTTTTATCTGCTTCCAATTTGTCTTTTTCTTAAATAAAGGATATAACGTTGATTCCAATAGAAACTTGGCTTTCGTGCATATGAGATAAACATTCATATAGAAGTTGTATAAAATATGTCTATATATATATTCCATATAACGTTACATACATAATAAACATATTTATTACATATATAATACATATTCAAGTTGCATTGAACTGACTTCAGAGGAGAGGTCAGTAAGTCACTTGCGGCACCTGGATCTCAGATTGCAGGCCACTGTCTTCAGCCAGCCCCAAATCTTCTTAATAGGGGACAGAACTGACCAAATATGCCTGACAGACATAGATAGATAGGGGTCAGCAGTGGCAACAGGTATCTGCAAAGTCCTCCCACATCCTGACCCCCCATGTGAGGAAATCCTCCGTGTGCTTTATTTTCTCAGATTAAGAAAACAATACAGGCAATCAGGAATTTGTTCTCTGCCTCTATTTAGAATCGAATCTAGTGCTTCAGTGATCTCATCCCAGTACCTGGCCCTTGGCATAAATATCTTTTCATTTTCTTCACATGGTGCCTGGTCTTTTTGTTACCTGCATTTTATTGTTCTGTTTCCCATGTGTTTCATTACCAAGTGCCTAGAATCCTGTTAGGAAATAGACAGGAAATACATAAATGTCGATAGATTTGTTGATTTCACAACAGCTGCCCAGTGTCTCGGTAAGTACTGGGCATGGAGGAAGATCCTCTCTCCTGAAAATGCAAACAGCAAATATAGACAACTGCAGTGTGTAGTGGGTTAACAGCTCAACATCCTCAATAGGTGTCTAAATTAATGGATGGAGTACATGAGAGAAGGAATTCTGTTTCCTGGAAAGTCATCATTTTTTTTTCACCAAAAAGTTCCTCTTAAAGACCGAAGTAGTCAGAGATTTCCTGTGGTTTTATAATTTAACTGGAAGTCAGAATCAGAAGTAGGAGTCTATTACCAGGAATGAGCATCAGCAACTGCTCTTGTTAAATCAAAACAAACCTCACTCTCTCAGAGAACTGTGACTTCCAGGAAACAGGCCATCTCAGGGGGTATATGCTCACCTGTTCTGAGATCAGTGGAGGTATCTGTGCTTTTATGATCTTTCTACTAATAGAAGCAAAAGGAAACAAAAAAGAGCAGCCCGTATGCTTTCTGGGAAGGGGAGAGCCAGATTCCAGCCCATCTACCTCTGGGTAAATTCAGAGATCTTGTGGCTGGTGCTAGGTGAGTGTCCAAAGTTTGGTCTTATACAAGCCTACCTGATGTGTTTATGAAGTGACAGGACCCCTGGTTTCCCTGGCTTACTTCAGATGCATTTCATTCTTTTAGTTAGCTAGACGTTTCACCAGTCCTATAAGAAGTTCATAGAAAACTCTGCCAGTTTGCTTTCTGTATGTGGACCCCACGCTAGCTGATCTCGGAAGCAAATCACTTACACAGCACTATTGGAAGATTCATTTCAGATGGCAAACACTAGTTGAAAATACAGATGTTGTTTATGACGTATACAGCTTATAAATAACTTTATCAGATTGAAGGATATTGCCCTAATGTGTCACATGGACATTTTACTGACCCCCTCAAAAAAAAAGTACGTGTGTGTGTGTGTGTGTGTGTGTGTGTGTGTGTGTGTGGTGGAGGGAGGCTACTTGACTTCAAAGGGGCACGTTAGAAAGATGTGGTATGAAAAGCAAAGTAGGAACACGGTAATTGAGCTTAGGGGCAAATATATATGTATTGAACATTACATGGAAATGTATTATACGCCCTCACACATTCAAGAGTCATTTACTGATTGAGTCTAGGTTCAAACTAAAAGAAAAATCTCAGGGCGCCTGAGTGGCTCAGTTAAGTGTCCAACTTTTGATTTCGGTTCAGGTCATGACCTCGTGGTTTCATGAATTCGAGCCCCACGTCGGGCTCTGTGCTGACAGTGCAGGGCCTGTTTGGGATTCTCTCGCTCCCTCTCTCTCTGCCCCTCTCCTGCTCATGCTCTCTCTGTCTCTGTCTCTCAAAATAAATAAATAAGCTTTAAAAAAAAAACTAAAAGAAAATCTCTTTTACACATGTGTGATGTTTAATAATGTATCAGCCTCCTCTTTTGGATGTGTCCCTGGAATGGCTTTCCCAACCTACAGTCCCCAGTAACGTGTTTCTAAACCAACTGGTTTATTTATATACCACGTAGCCTTCTGAGAAGTCTAAACCCTTAAGAACAATACGTATAAAAGATACTATGTGGCAAGCCCTCTTGAAAAACTACCTTTGGGCTAGATTACTTTACATTATCAAGTAATTCAGTGGGAATTCTTCATTTATTCCCTATAACTTTTCTAATTTCAGGCTACACTCAAATACAGGGGACTTAACAGACTAGAATTTTGCTCAAGTCATCTTCCATATAAGGGAAATTAGTTACTACATTATTTGTCTGAATGACTATAGTCAAATTACTGCTGGCTTGCGCACGTGAGCTTTTTGGAACCAGAAACCAAGCGTCTCCTTCTGGGAACACCTCCTTTCCTCAGTCTTGATTGGCACGATAGACCACGGATGAGCAATGGTTTTGTAAAGCATGCAAGACTATTAAAATGCATAGTTTTGATTTTTTATGGTTTCTCTCCTCTCTGAGCCAGCAAACTTCAAAATGTTGACTTTCTAAGAAAGAAGATTCAATGACCTGTTTGACCAGTTTCCCGAATGATAGATGTAAAATTGTGCCCTTCAGGGATTCGTGACTTATTTTCGGTGGACTTGAGGAAGCTTTCGCAGAACCAAGAGGATTGGGGGGTAGCTTTGTTTAGCTTTACGTTGTGAATGCCAACCGCTGGCTTAAGTAAAACTAATGTAATACCAAACCTCCTCAGAAACACACACTAACTGTCTGTGTGTGTATTCCCGTGCCTGGAGTCTTACTCGTTCAATTCAGACTGTACTACGGTGCCTTGTTCGCCTTGTTCTCAGGTCCCTGCGCGTGAGTTCTGCAGGGTTGAAAATAGTGTGAAGACTTGGAATCGATTTTCCCTTAACTTTCTATTTATCTCATTTGCTGAGTAAAGGCATCAGTGAAGAGATCTCTAAGTCTCGCCCAGCATTCTTTGACGGCCAGTTCAGGAGGCAGCAGATCTATGCGGTGAGTCACTGCGAGTGACATCCTGTGCAAAGTCGCCGTCTTCCTGAAAGGCTGCTTGCTGAAATGGAGCTACCAGACCTAGGCTTAGGTACCAAATAAAGGTTTAGCCCCTGAATCTGACTAAATTTCCTCATGAAGTTAATTCCTTGTAAGGAGAAACTTTTGCCTTGGCAGGAGAATTGCACACAGCCTGCGTTCCAGACTCATCAGCTGCACAAGGGGTGAAAATTCTGTGCACGGGGTTGTGGGGAACAGAACACCGTCTGGCCATTTGCCGGCACCACCGCCCGGGATCTTCATAACATCCGTGCTCCTCAGGGGGTGACAGATCCAGAGAGCACCCCCTCCAGGCCCTCCCCCGGAAGGCCCTGTTTGGGGGACCACAAGCATCTTGAGAAAATGCAGATTCATCAGAGCTTCTCGAAGCCCACTGTTTGCAGCGGGGGTAAACAATGCGGTTTTAGAGCGTTCGTTCCATCCTCTTGGCCGCGTCGATGGGATTCCACAACATCCAGCAGAAGAGGTGAAAAATTCATTTTCATGCTACTGGTTTGACTGCTTTTTGGAATTGACTATATTTGGTCTAAAACTGACTGTTTTCTCATTGAAGGAGCCAACATTCCCAAGGAGCATTTAAATGAGCTACCTCGTCACCGCATGGGAACGGCTGAACACTGCACCAAGGTCTATTTTCACTTGATTATATGTGTATTTATTATACAAAAATAGAGCAAAACTATGACTCTGCCAAAAGGCTCTCCTACGTTATAGTATAAGAGCAGGCTCGGGTTTCTTTAAATTGAAGGGCTGCGTGCTTGTTTGGTTTTTGCAGCTGTCAGCCTCTTTTTCTGTTAAAAATGTTCCCCAATTGGTTAGTATTCATTGTGCTTATTATTGGGGAGAATTTGCTGGTAGCAACGTGTGCCTGTTGGTAACCCAGAAAGAGGAAGTTCTCTAGTCTGGCAAGTTGTGGTGGATGGAATTGTTCAGATAAAATAAAAACTGATGGGGACAATGGCCCCACACGAGGCCAGCTTGCCTCAGACTTAAACAGATCGGTTTTCTTTCCTGTCACAGCCTTCCATGAGACCTGCTTTCATCTAGGACCGCAACGTAGGTGCAGCACTAAAAGCCCTCACCAAAGGGCTGTCTTGAAGTGCCTCCAATTCTAGAAAGAAGTCTCTTTGGGAATCCTGTTTGCTACCTCAAGCAGTGTAAGCCAAAATTTCAAAGTCTACCATTTCTTCACAGGCTGTATCTGTATGCGTGAACAGGGACAGAAGAAACCCTATCCCCACCACAGCAACTCCAAACCAGAGGACGGTCCTCGGGAGCCAAGAATGTCCAGGTTATAGGAACAGAATGAAGCCACTTAAGAAAATGGTCAATTATGGAATGTTCTGTGCATAAGTATGTCCATTAATTAAGAAGTGAACTGAAATTGCTAATGGATTTCATAATGGCCACCAACCAGCTGCCAGTTGGCTGTAGCTGGGTGACAGATGGTAGTGACTGATCTGGACTAGATCTGACCTAGAGATAGTCCGTCATTTATTAAATTGCAGGCCCAAATAAAATTCCATGCATTGCAGCATTTCACCATTATGTCTCACAGTGAGATGCACTGATATCATTCCTTATCTGCTGCCCCGGGGCAGAGAGCAAACTATTCAGAGGGCTTAAGTAGAACATTCAGTGAAGAAAGCCCATGATACCTCTCAGGATATGAAAAAAGAAAAGGCCGCTCCAATGAATGGCATTTGAATGAGGAATAGTGTAACATGGGAAATCTGTTTGTGCTAATCTGGTTTGTTACCCCCCAGCCCCATGATTTACCCCCCACCTTTTCTTTCTTTGTTGTTTAGATTTGTTAATATTTTTTAAATGTTTATATTTTGACAGAGAGTGAGAGAGAGCGTGAGCAGGGGAGGAGCATAAAGAGATAAGAGAGAGACAATCACAAGCAGGCTCCGCACTGCCAGCACAGACCCTGACGTGGGGCTCCAACTCACGAACTGTGAGATCATGATCTGAGCTGAAATCAAGACTCAGCCACTTAACCAACTAAGCCACCCATGTGCCCCATCCCCCTCCTTTTCTACATCAAGGGGCGCTCCCTTCCACAGTAACCAACAGGTAGTGAGGGCCTGCTTTAATCCATCAACACACCCTCGAAGTGAAGAGAGCCATTAGAGCCTGGCTCCAGGACCTGACTTCTCAGGGGTCTTGCATAAACAAGTCACTGAAGTGAGCAAATCAAAAGCCCCAATTACTGTCACCAGACTCATTGTTGGGGAAAATGAACCATAGCTGTGCTTTTGAAAGATAAGGCTCAAAAAGACCGGGGAGGAAAATTCCTACTGTTATAAATGCCTATGGAACCTAGAAAGACATGAGAAAATATAGCTCTGTTTTAAAATCTCGTATGAAACGTGCGGCAGGGCTTCCTTCATGTTGTCAAAATGTCGTGTGTCTTCCTGTCCTATTTCAAAGCTGGCATGTTAAGATGAGCTTGAATACAAGACACATGCATTCAAGAAGCAAAAACATGACGCATCCGTGGCATTTGGTCATACTCAGATTATTATGTTAACTTATCTCAAAGAGGCAGAATACTGCTCTTCACAAAGTTCCAATTTAACATGTTACACTCATCTTTTTTATTTAGAAAAGCAAAAACAACTTCTTGTCTTGGCTGGAAGGAGCCTGCATAACACACACATGTGCACTGAGAGGCCCTGGATAGTAGAGAGGCCCTCGGAGATTTGGGGGAAGCCTACAGAAGCCATGGATAACATTTCTTTGTAATCTCATGCTTATCTTAAAACCGTATTCAAATTTTGCATTTGAATGCAACATATTCACAACTCCACAACATATTTATTTTTCTGATATTAAAAAATATGATATTTAATGTTCCCTTATATATGATGAATGCTCCAAGAAGGTGCATCATTTTTATTTGGAAAAAAAAAAAACCCTTTTTTAAATGTTTATTTATTTTTGAGAGAGAGAGAGCATGAGTGGGGGTAGGGCAGAAGGAGGGGGAGACACAGAATTTGAAGCAGCTCCAGGCTCTGAGCTGTCAGCACAGAGCCAAACATGGGGCTCGAACTGACAAGCCGTGAGACCGTGACCTGAGCCGAAGTTGGACACTTAACCGACTGAGCCACCCAGGTGCCAGGGAAAGGCATTTTTAATCCTGGGGCTTTGAGAATCCCTGCTGTAGCCCCATGCACCTCTGGATGTTTCCATGCCAAACTTTGGCAAATACAGGGCTTACCCAAATTGCTCTGCTAATAGGTTAGAATACTTAGAGAGATTGTGACTTCACCAAGTCATATGACTCTGAAATGATTAGATGATTTGTCCAAGGTCACAGGGAGCAACAGAGTGACTAGAATTTCAGTGTGTGATGGTCCCACTGGAGCTGCGTGTGTCAAGTGCTGCCTCGGATGCTGCACCTGAGCCCGCGCGTCCTCGCGCTGGGTCTCAGGCCTCTGCCTCATCGTGTCCACCAGGTTCCCTTATTCGTCCCGGTTCTCTCGCGGGGTCCACCCCATTCTCAGCCTCATCCGGCTTCTGAATTTCCTGTCACGGGCTTGGGTAACCCCGCCTGGCCGCGTTCGGGTCAGCTCGAGCTGCTCTTGGGCGATGGCTCTGCACCTTGAGGCCCCCTGACCTGCGGAGCCTGAGGGCTGGCTGCAGCCGTGCATGCAGGTCGCCGAAAGATCACCGTGGGAAGAGCAAGGGGGCCAAAACCTTCCGAGGGAAACGAGAGTTGAGAGTGGAGACCCTAACCTACTGCAAACACCAGGCAGAGCAGCAAGAAAGTTACCGGAGGAGGAGGGGCAGGGGGAGGGGGAGAAGAAGAAGATGAAGAAGAAGATGATGAAGAAGAAGAAGGAGAAGAAGAAGAGGAAGAAGGAGGAGGAGGGGGAGGGGGAGGAGGAGATGATGGTGATGAAGAAGATGAAGAAGAAGAAGAAGGAGGAGGAGGAGAAGAAGAAGAAGAAGAAGGAGGAGGAGGAGGAGAAGGAGGAGAAGGGAAAGAAGCAGCAGCGGCAGGAGGAGGGGAGGAGGAAGAGGGAGGAGGAGGAAGAGGAGCAAGTGGTGGAGAGAAGAAGAAGAGGAAGAGGGGGAGAAAGAGAGAAAGGAGGAGGAGGAGGGGAAGGAAGAAAACGAGATAATAAGGATGAAGTACACGGCGTGGAACAGAATGGGAGATGGGTTTGGATTCAGAGGACTGAGGAACAGGCAAGGGAAAGGGTGACCGGACAGCTTCAGAAAGGACGGCGTGAGTGAGGGCCCACGGGCCAGGAAGTGGGGTACAGACGGTCCCCAAAAGGAAGCACTGCCCGGAGCAAGGCAGAGTGGAAGTGGTTGGCAGGGAGAGAGGAGGTGGGGAGGCCGGCAAGGGCCAGATGGCATGTGGCTCTGTCAGCCATGTTAGGGGGCTGGGGCCGCATCCTAAGGACAACGAAGAGATGCTACAAAGCGCAAGCCTGCAATAACTCGCTGAAATTCCCACTCTAGGAACTCCGCCTAGAAACTCTCCAGATCAATCTTCGTAGCTGAAGGAGCGACACTCAATCACCTTTTCAAAGTGGTCTCCTTTCATATCTGTGGGGGTTTTAAAAAATTTTATATGATGTAGTCTTTGGGAAGAAAGACTATAAATAAATATTTTTGTAGTCTCTAATATTATAAGAACTTGTTCCCAGAGTTTGTGGCAATATGTGGACACTGGCTCAGACACAAGTATGTGGAATCCATTTCAATAAGTATTATTTAAAATACTCAAAGTTATTTCACTTGAAAAAAAATGTCACTGCAGAATCACTTAAAAAATGTTTATGTATATACCTAAATCTCCAAACTGCCAATGGCAATTTTAAATAGAAAGCCAAAAGCTGTTTCTCTTCCTTTTTATTGGACTATTATTAACCAGTCATAAAGCCTAGCAGTTCATTTATCAAAGGGGAAAAAAATGTATAAATGCTTGACAGATGAAGGCTATAGCCATAATGTTATGACTTTATTTGAATTACAATGTATGGACAAAGTATGCCAATCCGTCCTGCCTCAAGTTACTGCTCTGTTACCTATGGTAACAGTCAGATATTTTCCTCATTACTTAATAATACCAGATCTCAAGCAAGTATCACATGAAAAACAGATGTTAAAATGTGACACTCAAGGTCAGGTTACACTGAATACTTGTTAATTTCCAAGTGCCTGGTTACTTCTCAAGAATCGTTTCTGAAATTTTTCACAAGGTTTTGTTGAATTTGGTTGCGGGGGTCAGAGTCTTAATATACACGTGAGACACAAATAGGAACTTGACTTCTTATTAATCAAGGTGGCAATAAAACAGGGAGAACCCGGTTTTCATACCAGAATGCTCATTACTTGGCATGAAATGTGGTTTTCCACAAATGCCTAAAACCAAGGGCATAGTTTATATTTTTTTTTCAATAATTTTCATTTGTAGTTTCCCCTTAATGTGTCCAATAGCCTTTTAACTCTATTAAAGGCAGACTTTCATTTTAAATAGAAATAACTTTTCATTATTGTGCTAGTATAGATTATATTTTTAAAAGAAACTAAAATATATGAGGAAAAATAAAATAAAAATAAAATTGGCATTATAGTGCCACCCTCAGAGCCACCACTTCTAATATCAATTTAGTTCCAGCTTTTTCCTCTGTCTATTCATATCTACATAGCAACATCTATAGATATTTTCTTGGAGAAATGAAATCAAAACATGCAGGAAAGATCCTTTTCTGCCAATTAATCTTCATCTACAGCATCATTTTTAATGACTTAAGACAATGCCCTGATATGGACATGCTATAACGTGTTGCAGAAACTAATCACTGATTTCTGGACATTTAAGGTATGCCAGTGTCTTGGCTTTATAAATATTATGGCAGTGACCAAATATGTAGCTTAATCTTTCTACACATTCTTGATGATTTCTTTAGCACAAATTCCAAGAAGTGAAATTTGTGGGCCAGAAGGATGCATGTTTCAAAACGCTTGGTACATAACTGCTAAATTGTATCCAGAAACATTGTGCTAAGTTATATTCCCACTGGAGGTGAGTAGATGCCATGTTTCTGTCATGTTTTTCTTTTTTTCTAGTTTGCTACCATACTTCCTGGATCCCAAGAGGCACGTTCCCCCTCCCCCCCCCCATTTTAACATCCTTAAAATCAATTCATGTTTTACAGTTGATGGCCTATCATATTTAAAACTTTTTAAAAATGTTTTATTTATTTCTGAGAGAAAGAGAGAGAGAGAGAGAGACAACGTGAGCAGGGGAGGGTCAGAGAGAGAGGGAGACACAGAATCTGAAACAGGCTTGAACCCAAGAATCGTGAGATCATGACCTGAGCCGAAGTCAAGATGTTCAACCAACTTAGCCACCAGGTGCCCCTGGCCTATCATATTTTAACCGGTGTTTTGTTATTTTTCCCACTCTCAGTGGCACTGACAGTATAGTGATGCATCATCTACTCCATGTCTGAAACGCCGTAACATAGGTATTTGCCTTTATAGGTGTGGCTGTGCTCATAGATACACAGAGGATT